ATGCAATACTAATAGAACAGCAGATAAAAACATAGCTCACTAGTTTGGCCCTGCTGCCACCGTCAACTCTGGAACTTACCAATCTAAAGGCAAACTAAAACCTGGGTTATTGTTTTTCTGAAGTATAAGTTTACCTTTAGATTGGTAAGTTTCAGAGTTGATTTGTGGCAGCAGGGCCAAACTAGTGAGCTCTTCAGCAGCAGTGCTACTGCACTGTTAAGAAGTTATCTTTAAACGGTAATTAAGAAATTATTATTTTCCACAACAATTGTTGTTGTTCCACAGCAATTATGAAATATAAGCAAAGATTTATGGCAAAGCTGCTAGGCTAGTATAATCAATGGAATTCCTCCAGATGCAAGGGGATTAATGGCAGCTGACAATCTGACAATAGTTATACTACAARGATAGTGAGCTGTATGATAGAGCTCTGTGTATGTTTTTTGAGATTTGTCACAATTAAGCAATTTAACCACTTTTAAAGTTAAAAACTGACTATTCACTGAAGAGATTTTCAATTTTCTGTCTGCTATTTCTTTGGTATAATCAGGAGAATATATTTGACTTTGCTAAGAATACAATCCTCCACTTTACTACGAAGGTTTTGCATCTTGGCTCCAGCCCAGCTGACAGGCTGGTGATGACCTCAGAAAAGGGAGGGAAATTCTGCTTTTTGTAGTACTTCTCAGTCGTCAAGGGGATGCTGCTGTTGTGTCATGATGAAAAAATTTTGGCTTTGTTTTGTTGGTCAATATTGCAAAATGATTCRTGACTTTTTTTCTGTGTATTCCAGAAGTCTTGTATTTTGTCTTGCACTGCACTTTTAATTAAAAAAAAAAAAAGAATCTTCCAGCTAAAGAGCTTAGTTAAGATTATATTTTCTTAATGCACAGTTTGTTMTTAAAGCATTGGTTTTTTCAAGGAAATCTCCAAAAAAGGATTAGGCTAGAGTACAGGGTTTATCAAGCAGGACTATGTCTGGATTAGATTATAATTGTCTTCCATTCAGTAACTCAWATATTTTCCTGATCACTCATCTAGAATATTACGTTTCCTCTTCCTCTGTTTGTGGCTGGAATTCTAATTTTTCTCCTGATAAAAAAGCTTGTGGCTTTTATTTAGCTTCCTTACAATAAATGAGTAGCAGACAAACACGGAGACGCTCCCAGTTAAGTACTAGGGAAACCATCAGCATCACGTAAATACATGTATGTATGTATGTATGTACAAGCATCAAAGCACAATAAGGAGCAGGAGTAACAGCAGATTAGTAACTGGAATTAGCCTCACAGTGGCTCCTGATGGAACATCATTGCTTCTGTTTTATTAATACCTTGCTTCAGTTTCATTAATACTTTGCTTCTGTTTCATTAATACCATATTCTGTTTTATTAACTGATATAATAATATTAATGCTTCTGTGTTATTAATAAGTCCCACAAGAGACGTAGGTCAGTGCAAGAATCCCTCCCTAAGTGCTGTGGTCAGTCTATGTATGTAATCCTGGAATGCTGCCCAARCCATTGGGAAATGCAGGTAACTCCATCTGAAGGGCTATTGCAAAGGAAGCTTTTTCATCAGTCACTTGCAATCAGCCTTTGGTATGGGAGCAAAGAAAGTGGAATACAAATTCAGAAAAAACATCTAATGACTAAAATTTTGCTATATCTAAAAAGTAACCTAGTCCTTTAAGCCCTGCATTTCTGACTTTTGGGASCCTAGCTCATTTCTGCTTGATACATAGAGCTGCCTATGTATGAGTTAGAAGTGGTGAAAATCTCTCCATGTAGTCACTGATGGGGCAGCATAACCATGTTAAGACATAGCAAGGGACACATCAGGCTAGAGGTTTCCCCTCTGTTATCAGTGACAGTGTCTTTTTTTCTGCTTTCCTTCTAGCCTGCTCTCATCTTTTGCAGCTAGACCCTGTCTGCCAATAAATCTAAAGTGCCACTAAGAAATGTCAACTTGTGACATCCTRTTTGTCTTAGGAATCAAACAGGTCTTGGCGGAATCACCTAGATATGACAGAAAATTTCCAGGATTTTGTCCTCAAGGTCTTTGGGAAAAGCTAGCGAGTTAATTCTTCCATATTCAAGTTTTATTTTGTTTTTTTTTTTCAGTAGAGTAGCAATACTTGATGAGTTTTGTACTGAGTTAATTATCAATGTGGACTAGGCCTAATTTGATCCTTGCTATCAGATTATAGCTCTGTAAGGATAACTCCTCCCTGTCTAATATGGGACTGTCCATCAAATTTTGATGAGAAATGGGTGCCAAAATGCAAGGGTCTACCAAGGCAGCTGCAGTTGTGTGTACACACAGTAGCAGAGCCTGAAGAAATTTACTGGCAAAAACACTAGGAAAACAATCAACTTGGAAATATTCAACTTCATTCTTTTTTTTCGTTTTCCTAGGCTCAGGCTTGCTTTGCTGTCATAAATGGGATTTTCTTCTGCAACAGGTTGAGTGTGCAGCCATTTCAGTTGGGCAAAACTGATCTGCTTTTTTCTTCTCTATGTTATAAGTGATGATAAGAGATATTAAGAGATATAAAATGAATTGCTGCTGTGTCCAGGAGGCACATCCATCATGTTTCTTTGATGATGAGCCAGTATTGTTTGAAGTAGTGATATCATTACCATGTATATCAAAAGAAGCTAGATTGGGCTTTGGTGTACAATTTGCATGATACTTTTGTGATGCAGGGCAACAGCAATTTATATGAAGTTGCAAAGCTTTCAAAGAACTTAATCCAACTGAACTTAGGATGGACTTGTTCTATAACATTCTCTGGATTTCTATATTTTCATAAATTGGGCACTTAATCAAAATCCTCATTTCTCTTTCCCTCGCTACCTACCCTTCTTCTTCTTCACTATTTTATAGCCACAAATATTCCAAGTATGTCTTTCTGCATCAGTCCAGAGTTTTTTCATAAATATATCAGTTAAATGAAGTATAGTGTAAGGATTGCATATTCTAGACAAATCATATGCAACAGATGCTGCAAATAAAATAATTTTTAAAGAAATACTTAAAAATGCRGGGATATTTTCCTACATTGGTAATATAATTGTAATTGTAAAAATGTAATATTATTATTTGTAATAATTAACTCTACTTAGTGGGTAATGTCTGCTTCAGGTCTTGTGGAACTTTCCATGATGTCTGGCATAACATTTTCAACACTATAGATACCTTTTCTTCCATGTAATCTTCAAAGTCATCTTGCTCGGAACCAATAGGCAGACGAGTTTCTGAGTATGTTAAAAAAAAATCCTTGTTGGAGCRGTATTGTAAACAGAATGGGTTTCATCTGATTGTTTAAAACTACTTTACCATGAAATACCAGCAAAATTGCCATTTAGGTCCTGTTTTTGACATAAGCAACTCCATAGCAAGTCTGCCCCATTTCAACATCTCTGTTTCAACTGCACTTTGGAGACTCTAAAATGCTAGAATGAAAAGTGCTTTTTTTAATATAAGAGTATTTGTCTAACATTTTTTATATAGTTTATAATGGTTCTCTGACATGCCTACTTAGTTGTTCTGATTTATTTTGAAAACCTTCATTTTAAACAGAGCTGTCATAAATAGACTCAGCAGGCAACATTTTCATTGGGCCCTCAGTAAGCTAGAAAAACGTCTGTCTGTTCTTTTGCTGTGCTCAGAAAAGACTCTAGAGATTTTGTTGACTCAGACTAAAAGAGAAAATGTACTTGTTCCACAACTTGAAGTAACCCACTTAATAAAGCATTCAATGCGTAATTCACTTGTAATCCTGTCTCCTCCCATTCCTGCTTCATTACAGCCTGTATCTGTTTTTTTTTTTTTTTTTTTTTTTTTTGACAGGATCTAATATGATTAATTTGTTTCTTTTGTTAGTTTTATATGGTCTCAAAACAGCAGGTCTGGTTGTTATCCTAGTGCTTGAATTGCTTGTGAGAGGGATCTGAACTTCTGTTGTTTGTGCCACAACTGCTGAAAATGTGATTTAGGGATTCACAAAGGCAGCTTAATGCAAAAAAAGTTAATAGTCTATAGTGATAGGATATCATCAACTGGAATTTACTCCATTAATTATTAACTTACAAATTAGAAAGAAAAAAGTTGTCATTCTGGTAACTTRCTACTCAGATGTGCTGAGTAGAAGTTTTTGTCTTTTGTTTTGTTTTTTAAACAAACAGATTAAGAAGGAGCTATCATCCTGTTTGGTTTGTCATTTATCGGAAGGGTATTTGTTTTTTGAACAAACAAACAAATTTATTTTCAGTTTGGTTTATTGAACTTTGAATAAGAAAGAAGTAAGGGAAGTATCAATTTTCTAACCATAATGGGGCTATATCACTGCTTACTTTTTTACAAAGGCTACAGAAAACAAAGCTTGGAGTGTTCAGAATTGTTTTAATATATTCACTGTTCTTTACAGAGAGAAAGYGATGAGTATCCCAAGATAGAAGTGCAAATTTCTAAGAATGCCTCATACGAGGTGGTGATGTTAACACTGAACTGCCAACAAGTATAAGAGCAGGTGTCTTAGGGGGAATTAGATTTGGGGAATCTAATCCACAATAGCTATAGGAAAAAAAAAAGAAAAAAAGGATAGAAAGAAGACAGACTTCTGTGTTTTAAAAGTAGCCCTTTTATGAGTAAATTGTTGAGATAAAAGAAAAGGGAAACAATTTAAAGAGTGAATTTGAAACTGCTCCTACTGGGAAAATACTACGTAGGTTTAATGAAGATTTTTGTATAATTTCTAATGATTAGTTTGGTCATTTTCTATGACTGGCCTTATTACCACAGTCAAGGACCTCCTGAAACTGAGTTTAATCACTAGTATGGCTGAAGATGTCAAATAAAAACGTAACCACACAAACTGATGGAGTTCTAATACTAGTGAGCAACCAGTTCAAGAACTGCTGTTCATTACAGGCTTATTTTTTTTGTGTGATACAGGCTGTGTTGCTGATCAGATGTGATATGTTYTTGTTTTTCAGATTTACCACTGGATTACAGATTTACACGATTTTCCTCAAGTAACTCTGCAACTGCTGGTTACTACCCGAGCCCTCCGAGAGCGCTGCTGTCTCCTGAGGAGTCAGTGCCTATGAAATAGGTTGTTTGCTTTTCCTTAAGTAACCTTGTGACCCGTACTTAACTGCTATCAAGTGTTAATTGGTCAAAATGCTGTGTGATGCTTCATAAAATAGAATGATGGTTTAAAAGCAGCCTGTTGTGTAGACTTATGTTTCACTTGTTTCCTTGGCCCAGCTGGAGCAAGTGAGCAATGCACATGTAAATCTTTCTACTACCACTGCCTGGGTTACTGGCTTTTCCCTGCACTGCCCAAATGCCATGAAAGAAACATAGTGATAATACCTCATCCCAAACTGATACTACTCATCCCAAACTGGTACTACTCATCCCAAACTGATAATACCTCATCCCAAGTTGTGTTTAAGCTTGTTTTTTTCTCATGGACAATTGCAAAAGKATCCCTATTTAAGGTGATGCTGCTGCTCTTGCCCTAGGAAGCACAAGAAACTGAACCCTGAGCCATATCCAATTAAGAGTTAGCAATAACTCATATTATTTTGGTTGTTGGGTGTTTTGTAGACTCTAAGGCATTTATTCTCTCCCTATCTAAACAAAGAAGAGAAGTACGATATCTCTACTTGGAGTTACTAAAAGACTGTGACCCAGATGGGCGTTTTGGTAACAAAAAGATGCTTCATATCCAAAAAGAGACTTGAGTGGAGTTTAAGCAGCTAAATGCAGAATTAGAGTCCTCAAAACCTTTGTCAGATGCTTTCTGCTCCAGAATGTGCCTAACATCTATTGCAATGAGGTTCTCTATATCTTTTTTTCTCCTGCAATTTTCAATACCTCAAGCATCAGAGCTCTTTTGCAGAATAAAGGAAACCTGCATACAGGATCCTTTACAGCTTGAGTGGATTCAAATCCACATTTTCTACCTCCGTGGCAAATTCTTCTAAAGGTCAGAAGGATATAGCACCAGCTGTATGCATTTATCATTGCTAAGTACAGCCTAAGCCCAGAAGAGAATAAAGATTCAAGACATAAGCTGGGTTTTTTTTTTTTTTTCCTACTGGCTAATTTAAGGAAATTCCTATCCTGTTTTCTATGGATTCAGTCTAAAGACATGGTTCTGCAGAACTTTGCACAAGGAACCTTAAGTAACTAACTCAGGATGATTGACTCAAAACAATGTTTAAGGTATTCACTTAGGTATCTTTTTTCTGTATAGGCACACTAGGATGGCAGAATTTGGGATAAATTTTCTTCAAAGTTAAGGGTACAATAGACACAAGCTTTCTTTCCTCAGTTCTTATTTTAAAGAAAAATCCATGTTAAGAATTTACTTTTTAGGCCTACACAGTTATCTGAATTGAATTATCTTGTATCTTCACCCACTCTATTTTTGTAGCTACTCCAGTTAAAATACTTCGAATCAGAATCAGAATCAGAATGGACACACCATTCCACCTTGTTGGAGCTTTACTAGTCTTTGTTTCTCTACTTACTTCCCTACTATTGTTTTTTAAAATATGTGGATGTTGCAACTTTCCAATGAGCTATATATTTAACATCAAGAATTGTTTTTCCCAATGGAAAGATAAAAGAGGAAAATTATGGGGAAAAAAATTCCAAAATTTGAAGTGATGTTCTCTTCATAGCCTGTCGGTTGAAAATGTTGAATTATGAAAGTAACATTTAGTRAAATATTTGTATTTATTTTAAAATCTTAAATTACCATCAATGCCTTGGCCAGAAAATCTGGCCTAAGATTACAAATATGTTTTGTATTAAGTAGAAATGGACCCAGACTAAATTCTCAGATCCATGGCTGCATCATCAGTTGAAACTGTAAGCTGAAACAAGTAAACTTTTGCAGTTACTAAGTAGGTTCATGACCAAAACAGTAAGAGTGGCCTCASAAGTCTATTGTTTTGAATTTGAATGTGATTTTTTATGTTGGCCTTTCTCTTTGTTTTTAAAGAAGAATAATTGCAATCTGAGAGTTAATAAAAAGCTAAGTGAAAATCCTCTAACAGATCTACTTGGTTCTTCCTGTCTCAGTGAGACAGCAGTGGGGATTTTTTTTTTTTTTTTTTTTGGTCGAAAATGACAGATTCTAAAGACACTCTGAATATGAAATATGAAGCTTACCAGAAGAAATACATATATGGACTTGATTAACTAGACATTTGTACTTACTGCCAGAAGGATCACATAGAATAGGGAAAGAARCTAAAAATAAAAGCTACTGTAGTCATGATTTCATATATCACCACATTTTGTGGTGATAGAAAAATTGCTTGCAGTATTTTCCAAAAAACAGGTACCTGTGAGGTTAGTGCTATCCCCTAAATCTGAAGGGCAGAGAAGGGAATACAGTTGGGAAAAAGATGAAATATTTCAGTTATACATTTTCAAAATGATGCACTTGACTTTTAGTTTTAACTTTTAGCTAATTAGATAAAATATAAATTAAAAAGAAAAAAAAATGTATACAAGTGGCCTAAAGACCCCTGAAATAAAATAGAAATTTTATTTCAGGTAGAAAGAAAAGGTTTCAAACACTCAAACAAAATTTTCCTGATGTTTCCAAAAATTGTTGTTGTGTGAGTATTTTTTAATCCAGCCATCAGATGATTGAAAAGTTCATATATGCTCAGCAGCAGTGATGAAGAGCGATTAAGGTTGTGTGCGTGGCTGCAAAAGCGGACTCTGGCAATGGAGAGACTTTTGGAGGGCACCTGGTGCAATCAGGAGGGCAACTGGCACTCAAGTGACTGGAGAGCTGATGGAAATGGAAATGGAGGTGGTAGGTGGCGTGTAGACCACCTAGGCAGAAGAGAGGCACATGACAGAATTGTACAGAGCTAACCAAACTGAACATGACACTGTAAGAGTCTGCCAGATTTCTTGGAATCTGTTATGAGAAATCATTGATGGAAAAATCACTAAAGTGCCTGCAAAACTTATTTTGGGTATTGTCAGGGAGATATAAACGTGGAAAGTTGTAATGATTCATTAACAAAAAAAAAAAAAAGATGTGTTTGCTTATATAATCCTGAAAATTGTAGTCTGGTTTAAAAGAAGAAAATAATATCAAGTCTCTTTTGGCTTCTATTTTGGTATGAAACGTATCTGTTGAATTTTAAAATAAAGAGAATTTATTTCTGAAAAAAAATGTTCTTGAAAAAATGTTCTTGAAATGTCCCATTACTCTGAAGAACAAAAAAATAAAAAAAAAAWTAAAAAAAAGAGCTAAATAATCACAGATCAATGCAAGGAGAGGCTGAGGCTATAGCCTCAAACAAAGCAAAACTTGACCCACTCAAAATAAGTAAATGTGTCATCCAACCAAAACCAACTACCTCTGATACCTACAGGAAAGCCATCTTTCATGGTAAGCAGAGCTCACTCATGACTGCTTCCTGAGTAGGACTTGTTTTTGGAATCTAAAGACTTCTTAATCCCCAGTGAGTAAAAGCATAGTTAAATAAACAAATKTGGGTAGGTTGTTGGTGGTAGATAAAGGGCATCATTAGACACAGGCCTTCCTGAGGCTACTGGAAGCTCTTCAGCTACTTTGAGTACCCTGGATGCCTGAAAGTCAGCATATGAGATAAGCCAGCAGCTCTGGAGGAGTTTGTAAGGCAATTTCTAGGAAAAACAGCAGCTCAGGTAGAGGCTGGAGATGGGAAGCTGCTCTGCCCTGTCCCGGGATTGGGGTGGGTGTCATAAAGTTTCACAGTATTGTAACAGATGAAATGAAAAAGTAATTACTCTAAAAGGCAGCATTTGAACTTCAGTAACTTAATAGCTAAATTTAATAAACTGAGATAACCATGGTGAAGGCAGGCACCAGCAGCCAAATATACAAAAACTGTTTTAAACCAAGTATCAACAAGCCGTTGTCCAACATGGTCCAACAACAACCAACCTAATCTACGTAGGGACCAACCCGCAACAAGGTAGTGCCATGACAGCCCAGAAAGGGGAGCTCTTACATGGGCAAGTGATGGGCATGTGTTGTGAGATGCCAAAGGGTACCTCCCTGATGTTACTGGACTGGCCATCTAATGCATTAGGAGAATTAAGAGAATGTATATGTACCCACTGACCTAAACTTTACCCTGCAGTGGCCTTTAATGCTTTAAGTATTATCACTCTGAGATCACAAAGATAGCCCTCAGCTCTGACCGTGTTGCCTGGAGTGATAGGCTATCTCAGCACTTCACTGTAACGGTTGAAAACAGTATGGTCACTGCCCGACGTGCCTTGGTGTGTTGTGTTTCTGTCAGCCGTCGTACAGCTTGCAAGCTCTTTAACAACCTTTTTCACTGGTATTTTAGGAATTGAGATAATGTAGCTAACATCATTGGCAAGTTGGAGGTTAGTTATTTTGTGAAATGGGAAGCAAGGCATCATCCAACATACGATACCTCTATTTAGTAAAGAGAAATAAATATGAATCCTGACCTAGCACCCAGTCTGTGGTTCCAGCACAGTCTGGATCAGGCCTGGCCACAGCCGGGTTATGATACATTCTAGTATCACCATAGAGGATAAAAATGCAACAAATGTAAGATGCACTTTTGTACACAATCTCAGTGTTTATAGCATGCCCTTTAGAGAAATTCTCACAGGAATTACGGCTTAGAAATACAGAAGTTACAGAAGTGCAAGGAAGTAAAGAGCTCATGCAGTACAACATGACAGCTAGGCATCTGAAACAAAGATACTGCTTTACCAAGGTACTTTTATGTAAGATATCTTTGAAATTTCTTGGCAAAGGAGCRTGACATGGGAAAGTCTGCTTCTTCTCTGTGTTATAGAAGGAACAAGTTTTCTGGTAATTAAAATAGCTATTTTCACTTAGTATATTTAAATGCTTGGCCTCTAAAACAAAATAATTCTCTTTCCATACACATAGTTGGGGAAATACACTGCTTCACTTGAAGCACAGATTCAGATTTAGGATGGGAAACAGCAAGCTACGTGGACCTTATCTTTGCAGAGAGAGAGAGATATCGTGGGGTAGCCTTGGACTTCTGTTGCTAAGATCCACCACAGAGCCATYGCTTTCAGCAGCACATCACTGATCTAGAAAACCCAGGGAAAAGGCTCAGTGCCGTTCTCAGTACCATGGCCCGCAGTTCTGCTCTCTGTAATTCTGAGAAAGTGAAACATCAAACCCCTCTGATGAGTCAGAGAAAAAAAAATGTAAAAGAAATGAGGTTTTCTTCTGAAAGGTTTTAGTACGAGATACAGATCTTGCTTTTCCGTAACCGTTATAAATAGACATACTTAAAAACAGTCCATGGATTAGAGCCAAAAGGAGATGGAGTCCAAAGAGTTAGATAGACCAGGGGATTTTCAGTTTTAAAAACTTACTAACCTCTTTACAGGCAAATTGGGGATTCCCCTGTATAAATCAAAGGATTAAGGAAGGCATTGGGGCCAGAAAGACTGACATTTTTTTTGAATGCAAGCAAAGGCCTAAGGAAATCTTTTCAGGATGAGGTGGGTACCCACAGCAGCTCTCTGACACGCACTGCAAGACCACAGAGGTTTTGAAGCTGACCAGTTGTCACGGTTCACAAATGGGCTAACATCTGAAGTCTTGCATCTAACTTTCTGCCCACGCGGCCTAAAGTAGCTGCCAGASCTCTGACGTGGTTGTTTCTCAATTATACTGACTTTTAAATACCAGCCCTAGCGGGGGAAACCATCACAACCACTTCTGAAGTGTGGCATGGTTTAAATGAGAGGGTGCAGCAGGGCACAAATGCTCTAACACTCTGCACGCAGCATTTACAGCAGATCCCATGGYCTGGGCCAAACGCTCAGTCAGCCACAAAGTGATTTTGGTTGATAGTACATGTTGAGCACTGTATGGACTGCTCAGTTGGATCTAAAAAGCTGAATAATTTATTTTAATAGGAGTGAAAACAGTGGTAGAACATCTTACACACTGTACAGAGGAGAAAAAGATGATGTTCTCCAATATGTGTGTAAGTGGTATTTCGAGGGAAGATGAGTCCATTAGCGGCTCAATATGGCTTATTCTGTCACAGTACTAACACAAATCTGAAAACACTGACTCTAACATATTTACATGAAACAAAAATACTTTCAAAGTCTTCACTCACCATTGGTGCAGAGTAAAACTGTGTATATAGTAGTTCCTTCTTGCCCTCTCCCCAAATAATACYTGAGAATTGCAGTTTTCTTTGCTGCTTGTTCTCTCTCTGGGCTTTCAAGCTCATGCTAAGAATTTAAGTGAGTGTTCATAAATGCTGAACAGCCTGCGAGTTGTATTAATCCAGAGGAAGAAKACCCTATTTTGAAATTTGTGAAAAGAAATATGGTGTTATGAACTGAGAGATAAGAAATTTTGTATCTTATCCTGACAGAACAGTYCGATGATATGTCCTGGGGGCTGCTGTTGAAGAAGCTGCCGCAATGTTGGAGGCAGATAGGAACCGTGAACCTCTGTCTGCTTTCTTCCTCAAAGCTGCCCATGTATCTGAGCATATATGCTCACACATATAGACACATAAACAAGCAGACATTAATGTCAGGGAACCTGTCTCCTAAAAGCTGCATTGTTAAGGGAATGACTTGCATTTCATAGAAGGATGAGCTTTTGCTTACTTAGATTTTTTTTTTTTTTTTTTTTTTTTTTTTTTTGGTTAATTGAATAAACTCATTACTCTTAAGTGGCAAACAGGGCAATAACTGGCTAGAAGAAATCATACGTATATATATGCGTATATATATGTATGTATATATAACTATATGTATATGTACACACACGAATATATGTATATATATAAATATAAATATATTACGATCCCGCCAATGTTCAAGAAACATATAGATGAGGCGCTCAGCAACATAGTTTAGCAAACATGGTGTTGACAGTKGGACTCGATGATCTTGAARGTCTTTTCCAACAATAATGATTCTATGTAACTATATATGTGTATGTAAAAGATRTTGTGCATGATAAACTGTGGGTGAAGAGTGTAAATGTGTGTAAGAGTGAACAACCACAGGGTGGTTGCAGGGGACCCTGAGAGTACAAGATGGCAGTGGCCTTGAAAGCACAGGAACAGCACAGTACCAGAAGCCACAGAACAATACGCACAATAACCAGTAACTAGTGCAAACTTGTGTAAAAGACAAATAACTAAGAGCAGAGGTGGAACAGTCTTTAAGGAGTGTATATCCAGAGGGACCTGGACAGGCTGGTG